GCTATGGCAGTGTCATAAAATGTGGTAATTTGGTAGGTGCCATGGTAGACAGGAGAAAAATTAAGCTGGTGTATTCAAATCTGCTTTGCGTAAAACTGGATTCCTTCAGTGGTATGAACAGCCTATGTGATATAGTGGTGTGAGCATTGGCCTACAATTTTGAGAACAGAATCGATTCCCCACTCAGCCATGGAAACCCATTGGGCCTCCTTGGGCAAGTCACACATTCAGAAAACTCCACGATAAGGTTGCCTTAGGGTCTCCATAACTTGAAGGCACACAACCACAAATGAACTGTAATCTTTGGATGCACATTTCTAAGTCTGGATTCCCAGACTGCATGTATATAGCCTGTAATAGCTCAACCAAGGAGAAACCTCAGAGATCTGGCTAAGGACCTCTGGCATTGTCTAATAAATGCTGCCTCTGTGAACATTTTCCAGTTTCTTATTCCCACACAGAGCTGTGCTCTGGCTTCTCCCCTTCTCCCATAATTCATTGTAAATATTGGTTTGTGTGAATCTTATAGCATGGACAGACAAGTGTTTATATTTAGCACACATGGAAGTCATTGACATTGTTGGACTGCTCCCACTTGAGTGACTTCTGTAATCAGGAGAGACTTCAATTGCCAATGGGTTTTACATCACTCGCCTTTCCCCCTCTGTCTTTGATATTTCTGGCAATCTTCTCTGCCCCTGCACCCCCTTTTTAATGTCCTTTCTGCTTATTAGTTCAGCTACAAATACCACTAAGCTGGGGACCATGCACTACCTGAATAGGAATGCTATGCAAGTACAGCTGGGGCCATCTGTGTATGACACTCTTCCAAATAATTTCCAAGCAATTGTAATTTACATTGTATTGAGTTTTAATGATATAAGCTGCCTCGATTGTCTGACAGAGGGGTGGGATATAAATAAAATTTATTATTATTATTATTATTATTATTATTATTATTATTATTATTATTATTATTAGTCTGTAGGCAGCAGCAGCTCATTAACATAACATCTGGAAGTGCTGCTTAATCCCTGCCCCAAAATCCTGCCATTTTTCTCTAATTCAGCACCAGCAGTATTTCCCGATGGAACAAAATAATAATGCAATTTGGTGAAACCTTCTGAACAGGTATATGGTAATTTGTATAGCAGTGGAAAAAACAAAAGTACTAGGAAAGGTGGAGGGAAGCAGAAAGAGAGGAAGGCTGCATGCTAGATGGATGGACTCTATTAGGGAGGCCATGGGTATGAGTTTGCAGGACCTAAGCAGAGCAGTGGAGGACAGGGAGTCTTGGAGATGTTTCATCCACAGGGTCGCCATGGGTCAAGATCGACTCGAAGGCATTTAACAACAATAAAAATAGCAGTGGAGATCTCTAATGTGCTTCTGTGTTTCAATAAGATTTTGATCCATGGAATTAACACAAGACTGCACTACCACTGATCCTGCATACAGCAGTAAGATCCTTGTATTTTATGGTTCCCCATGGTAGTTAGTGAGATTACAAAAGCATGTATTGTAGAATCTTCTCCTGCCCAGGAGCTTGCGCAGCATTGTTCCTTGTGCAGAACCCCAGTACTATGCCTGCATTGTGTTCTGTGGACTGAGGCATGAAAGTCCAGTCCAATGAAATCTCATAGCTATAAGGCTAGACTTAAATCAAATTTTGCAAAACTGTTGGGCCAGTACAGTCCAACACATAAACATGGGAAGAAATCAATTTAACTGACAGGGTGGTTGTGAAGATAACAAGGGATAGCCTCTATGTATAGTAAGGGTGAGGTAACAGACAGGGGACTGATATCGAGAATTGTGTGTGACAGTGGTGACAATATGACTCCAGGGAGAAAAACTCTTAGGCTGTTAAATTCCAAAGTCCAACATTTATGCTTGAACTTTTAATTTAACAGCTTTAAGGCCTTGAAACCGTCTTTCTTGTTTCGGCATACATGTAGCCAGTCTCAAACCCATGATCTATATAGGTATACCTTGAACTTTTAGTTGAACAGCTTTAAGGCCTTGAAACTGTATTTTTTTCTTTCCCCACACACGTAGCCATTCTCAAACCCCTAATGTATATAGATATACCTCAATTTAAAATGCAGATGTGTTCCTGGGGATTACTTCTTTAACATAACATTTGGTATGTGAAGCAGATATAATATGAAAACAATAGGTTCCTATACCACCAAAAAGGAGAGCAGTACAACAGGTTTCAGCAAACTTTTGGTGAAAAAGTATGCACACATGAAAGGCAAAGGGGGGGGGGGGAATCGGGTCAGGTAAGCCCTGCGTAAGTAAAGAAAAAATATTTTGAACTTTCTATAGACCAACTGAAAGCTGCTTTCAAAATACATACAGGGAGCCAGCATGGTTGGAGCGTCGGATTTTGACTCTGGAGACCAGGGTTTGATTCCCAGCTCAGCCACAAAACCCATTGGGTGACCTTGGACAAGTCACATGCTCTCAGCCTCAAGAGAAGGCAGTGGCAAACCTCTTCTGAACAAACTCATCAAGAAAAACCCATGATAGGATCACCTTAGGATCACCATAAGTTGGGAACTTCTTGAAGGCACACAGCAACAACACATATATATATGTTGTTATATATTTTTCTTCTTTAACTAGCTTCCATTTTTCTTATGATTTCCATTTTGATGATCAATCGTATAGGTCTGTGCTTTTTTCACATGCTGGGTGTAGGTGGTGAGGCAGGATTATTCATTCTCCCCTTTTCTCTGTTTTTCATGGATGCTCAGTACAGGATTCTGGAAGCAGGTGCTATTTACCTTACTTGTTAATAGGCAGAACACACAGGTACAGTAGGATCGCTTGAGTAGAAACTCATTCTTTCCCAACTCATGTTTCCTGCAGACTCACAGCTGCAGTTCACTACTGAAAGTCTCTTTCTCCAATCCTCCTTCACCATCCTCCAATGCTGATGAGGCTAAAAAACAACTTCCAGCTAGACAAAGGAAGGAGAAAAGGGTAGGGCTGGACAGATATATAAAAAGACTTTGTAAAAAGGAGCTTCTTTGTCAGTGATTGTTGCTGTTGAGTGCCTTTAGGTTGCTGTTGCTGTTGAGTGCCTTTAGGTTGTTTCTCATTTATGGCAACCCTAAGGTTATCATGGGGTTTTCTTGGTAAGTTTCTGCAGAGGGAGAGGTTGAGAGAGTGTGATTTGCTCAAGGTCATCCAGTGGGATTACATGGCCATGCCAGATTTCGAACCCTAGTCTGCAGAGTCCTAGTCCAAAGCTCAAACCACTACACCATGCTGGCTTTTTCAAAGACTTTGTTGACTGATGTATGCCTGTTTGTAATTTTACTCTAGATATACAAGGCAAGCAGGAATCTGTTTAACATGTCAGCCTTGGAGTGGGTTGCCTTGGACTGAGGTGGACTCTCCTTCATTGAAGTTCTTTAAACAGAAATAGGATGACCATCTCTTGGGAGTGCTTTACATACATATAATAGTGGAGTGGGACTAAGTAGACCTTAGGACCCCTTCCAACTCTTGGATTATGTGTCTTCCAAAAGCTGCGCTTCCCACTATGAGTGAACCTTGAGCATACCTCATTTCGATGTACTTTTAAAATTGTAAATCAGTGATATTTTACTTTTTCTAACAGTGGTCATGGAGGAGGAAGCTGAATGTGTTTATCTTCCCGTCTCTTTACTTGGTTTTATCACATCTCTATTTGTTTCGCCTGAGAGTTGATATAGTAGTATAAGGAGCCACTAAGTTGTTCTGTTGCCACCTCTACTAAATGTCACTAAAACCTAATTCTCAAGAATTAGTAAACCCATCTGTGGTTTGTACTAGTTCAGACTGTGCATGAAGGTTTTGGGGGGGTAATTCTATTTCTTCTCCTTTGCTTATGATTTAAAAATCGTATCCACGGAAAACCACTATGTCAGAGAGGAAATGTAACATAACCTTCTCCCTGACATACTAATTTTCTCTGTGCAGGAATATTTTTCCTGAAGGAGTACACATTCTTTTAAACTTCAACTGCAGACTTGAAGTAGCACCATTGAATTATAATTTTGCAGAGATGAGGACTACTATAGGTTGTTAGTTCTTGTCAAGTTTCCATTTCCTCCTCTTTTAATCATTCTGCATCTTCCATCTTGCAGTCTGTGTTTTTCCACCCTGGCTAACAGAATCAAAATGATTTGTTGGCCATTGTTGTGGTTTGTTCTTTATACAATCGGCTTAATCAAAAATCAATGTACAGATGGCCCTCTGTATCCATGGATTCTGCATCCACAGATTCAGGCATCCATAGCTTGGGGGAGAAATCCAAAAAGCAAACCTTGATTTTGCCATTTTATATAAGGGACTAAACCCCAGCAGACAGCAAGGGTCCACTGATTTGTGCCAGATACTTCTAAAATACTCATCTTAGAAGTATCTGGCACAACACAATGGGCCCTTGCTATCCACTGGGGTTTGGTGGCAGAACCCCCCTGTGATTCCAAAATCCATGGATGCTCAAGTCCCATTATATACAGTGGAGTAGTAAAATGGTATCCCTTATTTAAAATTTCTTAGAAATTTTGAATGTTCTAGTGATCACGTGAATGGGTGGGACAAAGAAATGTGTGAACAAAAATCTGTACAAGAGATAAAAAAGGAGTAAGGGGGGAAGGAATTTAACAGCATCTTTATGCCTGGGTGTTTTTTGTTTTTTTAATTTTAGCATGAGTTTTCATGGATATAAACACACTTCTTCAGATGCAGTACTCTGAAGAAATTGCTTTATAACCATGAAAGCTCATGCTAAAATAAAAACCAGTTAAGTGTAAAAGTATCGTTGCATTCTTCCTCCCCCTCCCTTCCTGCTTTTTTTATGCTGCAGGAGACTAACATGGCTATTTCTTTGAAAACTGTACAAGAGATAGAGACTAATAAAAATCCTGTCCTCATCCCACACTGACCTTATTTATTTACCTTCCTCTAAGGACTTTAGGGTAATGTACATTATCCCAAGAGCCAACGTGGCATAGTGGTTTGAGCACTGGGCTATGACTCTGGAGACCAGGATTCAAATCCCTGCACTGCCATGGAAACCCGCTAGTCAACCTTCAGCAACTCACACTCTCTCAGCCTCAGAGGAAGGCAAAGGCAAATACCCTCTGAGCAAATATTACCAAGAAACCCTGGGATAGGTTCACCTCAATGTTGCAGTGACTCAGAAATGACTTGAAGGCACACAACAACAAAAAGAACATTATCCTGCTAGTAATCTACCTATAGCAACAAAGAAAAGTCTGATCTGCACTTGGGGCAGAATGAAGAAGTAGAATGCAAAAGTAGTCTAAATTGCTTCAGAGGACAGTGAGGAGTATCCCATTATTTTTATCACCAAAAATCCCATTAAAATCTCCTTACTGAGAAGCAAAGATTGACTGACACTTATCAGACTGAAAATCGGTTTTCCCATTTCTGTACGCTGTGAATTTTGTATTAATCCACACTTGCTCTTGTATCAGTGTGCATATCTGTTGAGCATTGGCTGTATGCCAAACCTTATCAGACCCATGCTACCTGTGTTACTTTACATGTCTTTTGTCATGTAGTATCTGCTATTTTAATATCTGAGGTTTGTAAGGGTTCAAGGGTAGTATCTAGTCCAGAGCCTCGGGTGCCACACTGTTCTTCCTCCCACATTTTACCATCTCAGAGGACATCTGTGCAGAGAAGGCCAGGCTTGGTTTGTACAGAGGTTATTCAAGACTGATATCGCAGCAAATGAAATCCTGTCACATTCAAGAAGCAACCACAAAGATGCAGATTTCTGCAAACCAGACATAATTGATGTTTGAAATTCTCCACTTTGAGGTGCGGCGATCATCACTAGTTTATATGCTTTTGAAGGATCGGACAAGTTAATGGACCAAAGGTACCATGCATTTGTTAGGGCCTGAAAACTAAACAGAACTTTTACATCTAGTTTATATTGCCTAATATCATATTTCTGAGAAGCAGAAGCAATGAGGGCTATAGTCTTTATTGATTGGTTGTGGACTGCCCAATTATCTCTGATTGGCTACTATGGAAAACTGGATGATGTCTCTTTGTTTGATCCAGTGGACTATTTCTTGTATTCCTAAAATCATTTTCTTCTCTGTCCAGTCCAAGTACACAAACTAGGCAGCTGCACTTCCTCCTAAGTATTACCGTTATTGTAACAGGAACAGTCTTCTCTAATTATTTTTCAGGGCTGGGATGGGTTAATTTTGTCTATTTATAACAATGCTTGGAATAATTAATTTGAATTAGAGCTTCCACATTCCTCCGACAGATGTTCTTCGAACAAGTGGCAGCTCTTCGGCTGAACGACAAGGAGGTAGAGCATAGCTTTTAATCAGCTGACCCAGATCTTTCTGGAGGAAGATTTAAATCAAGACGGAACATCTTTGTTCTTGAAAACCACATCTAAAAATGTTACAGCAAAAATATTCAGATTTTTATCTGCAGCAATTATGAGATACCTTTTCTTCTCTCTCTCTCTTTTTCAAATGATTTAAAAACCAGATTTCTTGGTATTCTAACAAGACAGCAGCATGAGGTTTTTCTCAGATGATGCAGTGATATAAGCGGTTCAGTAACAATAGCAAACAATAATATAAGGATTGTTCTCTTCCCACTTTTACAGCCATTTTAAATTCTGGAGTGAATTCTGACTCACCTTTCCAATCATATGAGTCATTGAGGTCTTTGGATAAGAGATAATCTTTGGAGATGAGGCATTGGATAAGAGATAATCTCTTCAGAAATCTGGGCAAATTGGTTGGGTTGTGTGTAACAGAGATTGGAATATTTTCTGAAGTACCTCCTCCAAATTCAAAACCCATTTTGGGTCTCAGTTAGATTTTTGTTGTTGTTGTTGTGTGCCTTCAAGTCATTTCAGACTCATGGCGACTTCAAGGCAAACCTGGGATTGGGTTTTCTGGGGCTGAGAATGTGTGACCCACCCAAGCTGCTTCTAAAAAGTAGTTTCTGCCTTGCTTGTTCTGAGTTACAGGCTGGAAGGATACATATTCTAAGTTTTGGGACGGCTGTCTGAAAGGGGATCATAGCTCATAAAGTCTCTTCTTGAGAACTTGGAGAGCTACTCCCAGTCAGGCTAGACAGTACTGGGTTAAATGGACTAAATATTATGACCCAATATAAGGCACCTTCCTATTTGACCTGTACTGTGGCCACATCACCTTCCCCATGCAGTCATCGTGCTTGCTTACCATTCTTGCAAAATATTCCTACCTAGCAAACTGGAAACAGCACAGGTCAAGGTATATATCACACTAGGTTTTTCTATGAACCTATTAAGGTGCAACCAAGGAGACCTGCCTTGAGCAGAAGATCTGCAGACAGATTAAGGAGGAGCTTCTTACTCCTTTCCACTCTTTATCGGTTTTTAAAAGCAGCCAGGCTATGCAATTTTTCCACCCCAACCTCCTCCCTCTTTTAGCACCTTAATCTTTTTCTAGCCTAGATGAGTGTCAATCTAAAGGGGCAGCAAGAATCCACAACACCTGTAGTATTCAGCCCATTTCAGACTGAGCCGCGATAGAAGAAATACTTCAGAGAATTGAGTTTTGTCATGTGTTGCATGCCAACATCTTAGTGGTGCTGTCTATGTAACGTATGATAAGGCAGTGATGGTAAGAAGGAAGACTTACGTTTGACTGTGCTACGAGATTCCTGGAACCCAGCTGGCTCTGTACCCCAGCCCAAGGATTCACATTCACGCTCTGCCCCTTGCCCATGCCTGGCACTTGTGCCTGCACCACCTTTTCCCTTCTCTGACAGCCAGCACATCTTCCACAGCCCCACACTGCGCTTACGCCCATCCTCCAAGGTCTGGTACACCCAGTTGGGGGTAAAGGCAGCAGCATTGTTGAGAATAAGGGAAACCAGAGCTATCAACACAGCTGTGGCTACAAGTTTCTGGACAGTCATATCTGACTGTCATCCACTGCTGGCAGACACTCTTTGTAGAAGATCCAAGAGTCCCAATCAATTGTAGTGCATTGAATTAGGATTGTAGATGGAAAGTAAGCACAGGAGGCTGTTATGGATGGCTAGAGAACATCTCCATTCATTCTCAAAGTCAGCTGCTACGGTATGTCTGATCGCACCAAGAAATAGTAGGCAGGGAAAATAAATCCATATAAAAGGAGCAGGACTGTCGCTTCCACAATGCTGCGTTCCCTAGTGATACTTTATCCACCTTCTTGTACTTTGAGCAGAGCTGAGCTGATGACAAGCTGAAATGCTTGCATTTTTCTGGGACTTGATTTGCAAAATGTTGAGGTAGGGAATGCTGCGTTCTTGGATAGCTTCGGTGAATATGCCTGGAAATGTTGCAGGGCACTTCAGCCCTCTGGAGCACAGCTGTGAGAAGAGACTGACACCCACATATAAGAGTTAAGCAACAAGACCTCCAAAATCGTACAGCTCTCCAGGCTCAGAACATCCCACAAACACTGTAGAATTTCATTCTCACTGCCAAAGCAAATTCTGAACACCACCAAAAAATGCAGAGTTATCGCCAAGGAGCTCTGGAAGGCTGGTGTATTCCGAGGAAATCTTCTCCACTGTTCTTGTTCTTCTATAGATATCAGACCTGTGAGCAATCGAAGCAGGAAAGCTGAACCTCTGCTCTAAGGAAGTTTTTCCCTCCGGTCTCTCAATGGAGAGAGGAAACAGTTGTTTTTGTGGCTGTTTTTGGTGAGAGTCAGGGCGTAGCCGAGTGCAACAAACAGAGCCACTGCCACAGCAGTCAGATATGAACAGGATGTGTTTCCTGAAAGGAAAAGACTGACGAAGACTTCTAAAGTCCCAGTCAATCTCTGTCTCTCTCTCTCCACCCCCCAGTCCTCCTCCTTAATACCAGTTAACTCCCTCCCTCCTTTCTCTTCCTTTGGTTCCCAGAAGAAAACGTGAGAATTCAATGAGATAGTATTAAACAAATATCATACAAAAGGGCCTCTTGAAACATCGTTGGAAAAGGAACCTTGCTTCCCTAGTGCTTCCAAGAGTCCCAATCAATTGTAGTGCATTGAATTAGGATTGTAGATGGAAAGTAAGCACAGGAGGCTGTTATGGATGGCTAGAGAACATCACCATTCATTCTCAAAGTCAACGGTGTTAAGTGTCTTAAGTGTCAACAGTGTTAGTGGTCCCAACCATTAAATACAACTAGCAAGACTTTGGGGGGCTGGATGCGTAGGCCACTTTTCAAGCAAAAGGCAAAACAAAATCAAACAAAACTCTCTGAAAGCTAATCTACTACAAGAGAGGAAACCTGGAGATCCATTTAGGACGTTGCTTATTCCTTGAGGGTTGCTGCTGTTATATCAGTCTCCCAAAGACAAATTTAGCATCACACAATGTTCTAAGCACACTCCAAAAACCACTAATTTTGCACGTGCGGCAAAGATCAGTCATGTAGATGACCCCTGAGAATGGCCAAAGGATTCCCAACCCATCTTGTTCTTTATTTCATTAAGCCAGCCTTCTCTTGGAAATAACATCTTTGATTTCATTTAATTTTACTTATAATCCACTTTTCAGGTGCAGACCAAAATGTCAAATCATCCTGATTAAATCTAACAAGAGCTAGAGTAAAGCAGCAATAAAATGGTCATTAAAAGCAGATATCAATGATAAAAAGATGAGCAGAAACATCCAAAAATCAAAAAAGAACAATAGCAGTATCCCGAAATAGAAAAGTAAGCCCTAATCAGACAAATAAACCAAGACATAACTAGTTCTCTTTATATTTTGTTAGTATAAAGTATGTAATAAGTTGGTGATGGTAAAATAGTAATACAGTAAGTGACAGAATTCAAAGATATAGTTGTGTTCGTCTGTAGAGAGATCTTGTAGCACCTTTGAGACTCACTGAGAGAAAGAAGTTGGCAATACAAGCTTTTGTAGACTGCAGTCTACTTGCTCAGATGCATTTGTAAGTGACAGCAGTTGGACATCAAACGTGAGCTGTGCATTTCCATTTTTTACTTCTGTTTATAAAATTCTTCCATACATTTGGGTG